ACCCCCAGATCCAGCAGGAACCCAGCCATTACTTGAAAAAACATTATTATCTGTAGCATTCTCATGTTTATCAGATTTAGAATCACATATTTTAGTACCAGTCTCTACTGAGGACAAGCCAAGAGGCTGATCAGAGATGGGACAGTTACCGACCTCGACATTCTGTGTCTCCAGTTCGCAAGCAGTGTGAAGTCCATTTTCAGAAAGGGCAACAGAGTCTAAGTCTTTTGAAATCCCTAATTCTCCACCCACCACTTCATTATTTCCGGCAGTTGCAGATTCAGACTGTTCAAATAATGTTCCGTTCTCCTGACTTTTGGATGAATGAAGTGGCTGGTTTGCAGCAGCAGTGTTGTTGATATGCTTATCTGAAAAAGAGTGGTTGGGTAGAGATCCTTCAGAACCAGCATTTCCTCCATCACAATCAATAATATCTAAATTATCATTTTTATCATTAGAGGCAAGACATTCAGTTGCTTCAGCCGCAATTCCCTTATGACTTCCATCCAATGTCTCCAAACCCTGATCATCTACAGGAACAACCAAACGGCAGTCCTCACCTTCAGTTTGGTGATTTTCAAACATGAGATTACTGTGTAATGATCCGCCACTTGCTGGTATAACCTTTGCTTTAAGCTCGGGAGAATCCTGCTCCAGACTAAAATGGAAGGACTTACTGTTAGAGACCAAGTCCACACAAAAAATACAGTAAGTAAACAACCATGCATAGAAAAGGAAAAGCAGTAATACCTTAGCAGCGAGTAAGCCCAGTTGTTGACCATATCTTCTAAATAAGCCACTTGTGACAAAATACGAAAATATTGATATCTATCTTTCCCAGCTTGAATTTTTGTATTGATTTTCTCAACTAAGATCTCAAGAACCTTCCTTACATCAAGGGAAACTTCCCTAACTGATTTATAAACACCTCTGTAAGCTGATAAACCAACAGCAATCAAGCCTCTGACTAAACCAGATCCTTCTCTGCTTTTAACACCACTAGAACTATAAGAAACTACCACCTTGTCGAGTGAATTATTAGGACGAATTATACATGAATTGAAAGGCCAGCCCCTCCAAGGTCCACTTACATCAGCACAGGGACCTTCATTGAGTTTTGAAGTGACCCAACAAAGCTCAGCAAAATGTGGGTATAGAAGAATTTGATAGCCAAGTGTGGATATTGCCAACAACACAGTTGACTTTCCCTTTAGTGTCTTGCTGTTGGGTGTTGGTGGAACTTTTGTAAAGGATTCATGTTGGATTTCACCCTTATCATTATCATTTGCGGATCCATCTTCTTTTCTTTGACATACCTTATCTTTACAAACTTCAATTGATTCATAGGTTCTGTGACCCTTTTGGGCACCCATATGAACATGAGATCTCTGATGAATCAATTGAACCTGCTGCTCAACTACATTTCTCAATAGCTCTGCTGCAGATAGATTGATTACCAAGTCATTGTCAAAATTCCCATCAACCTGCACAGAGAATCGAGGAACTGTCTGCTCCAAAGGAGTTGACTGGCTATCTTTAGATTGATAACTCTTGAAGAATTCTCTTACTTTTTGTGGAAGTTCTGTATAGGGAACTTCTGAAGTAGCCTGTCACAGATAAAAGACATAATATAAGGATCTACTAGCCAATATAAAATATCACAAATGTCTAGCTAATACTACAATGAATGACCATTCTTGCAAAAACAAGGATAATTGAGTGATAAAAAAATTGACCAAGTATCGTTTTGCCTGACAATGTTGCTGTACAAACAAATGTATCTTAATGTTAAAAGCCAAAAGAATTACTCAATATGAACGAAATTGTATTAACATATTTCTAAAATGGCAATTAAGAAATAGCAGAGGCTATAAAAATAAATCAACATTTAACTTTAAAAAAAAAGTAAAAACCTAGGAGACAATTGTTTAAAGGTTTTGAATTATTAAAGGCAAGAAAGTCTTCCTAATTTCATACCATAATCATCAAGGATGTGGATACACCAATGGACTCCACCTGCTCAATAAATGACATCCAGGCATATGAAGCCTTTGTGTTGGTTTGGCCTTTGGTCATCTCAGACAAGTTTTTTTCAGTCCCAGTCTCATTTTCCTTCTCAACAGCTTCGTTTCTTGTGAAACAAGACTTTCGCATTGTTAAACAAGAACCAGCCCTTTCAGCAATTTGGAAATGTTTATCCACAGCCCATAAATCAATTCTTGGCAAGAATACTATGCAAGATTGCCTGCTAGCACATTTCACTGCCACATAGAAACTAACTGTGAGTATCAGATCTCTAAGTTGATGCAATTATGAAACAGTTGAGCTTGAGCATCAATATTTTTGTATAGAACATATTCAACTCCTATCTTACACTTGGCATCTTTCAGTGACTAAAAAAGGAAAAAAAAAATGCATTATCTTTGCAAACCTAAGTCTTAAGGAAAACCTCAACAACAATGAACAGAAAGGGGACAGCTTTTTCGAACTCCAGAGTTTTTGTTAATTAGCATACTTAGTTAACAGTGATTTCAAAAGGACAAAAATCAACATTACCAGACAAAACCTAGAAAGAGAGACATACTTAATATTTGAGCAATCCCTTGCACCACTTCTCCATGCCCTTCTTGTAAAATAGTTGCCATATCAATCTTCTGTATTTCAATATTCCCAATAAAGCAGTGAAGAAGGCAAGAAGCAACATGTCTTTGGCCAGATCGTGGATTTCCAGAAATTAATATACGAAATCCTGATTTGTTGGTTAATGTAAATAAACCACTACGCATACCAAGATGGTTCCTTGCAGAAGATTCTAACTTCAAGTCGTTATCATTGGCACCATGCACAGTATCATAAGAACCAGCAACACCATTGTCCGCAGATAAAATGCCAGAACATGTAAGCTTTTTCTTTAACTCATAAACAATATTTGTTTCTTGAAGAAAATCATCCATGTACAACCACCAGCGATCAAAAGGCTTCTGCTTTTTGTCTAGAGCAGAAATCATGACATCCTTTATCACTGTTACAGCTTTAGATATGGATAGTGGTAACCATAGACGTTCATCAAGATAAAGAGATACAAGAAGAGTGCATAATGGCTGCAATAAACAAGGGATAAGTCGGGTGGGAAGAGAGGAGCATACTACATCATTAGCAGCATTTCCAGCATCTCTCCGGGAGCAAGGTAGTGGAGAAGCAAAAAAAGCCTCCAGCCAATCCCTCTCCTCTACTGCAAAGGATGGAAGAGCAATGTTCTTGCAACTTGAATGTTTATCTTCAGCAGCTAAAGACAGGACTTCTTGCAAAGGGAAGTTCCTCTTCAACGCATTGATTGCTGCTTGGGTACAAAGAGCCTGGAGATCAGCACCAGCAAAACCAGGTGTTTTTCTTGCAATCCACTCGAGCAAGGATCCAGTAATTGGTTTTGGCCACTTTTGGGTGTGAAGTGAGAGAATGGAAGCTCTATCTTCAATAGATGGTAGTGGAAAATAAATTTCCCTATCAAATCTACCAGGGCGCCTAAGCGCCGGGTCAACTGCTTCAGGACGGTTTGTTGCACCTATGACCACAACAGAACCCCTAGATTTCAAACCATCCATAAGAGCAAGCAATGTTGACACAACAGAACTATGTGTCTGATCTTGCTGCCTAGTGCGGCAGGGTGCCAGTCCATCTATCTCATCAAAGAATATTATAGAAGGTTGACATTTCTCAGCAACCTGAAATAATAATCTTAGTTGACGCTCAGCATCACCAACATACTTCCCCAAGCAATCTGCACCTTTACGGGCAAAATATGCAATCCGCTTATCACCACGGGCACATGCACCTATCAATGCCCGAACCACTAAGGTTTTCCCTGTTCCAGGGTGCCCATGTAAAAGAACACCTCTTGGAGGTGTAAGCCCTAAATTATCAAAAAGTTCAGGATATAGCAGAGGTAAAATAACCACTTCTTTCATGCAACGGATGACATCCTTAAGCCCAGCAACAGATTCCCATCCCTGAAATAAATTTTCACTGGCAGAGTCTGAACCCCCAATGTATACTGGGGCTATTCTCAATAAATCACGATGAAGCCTCTTGTTCTCACGCTTTAAAAATTCTTCATCCTCTCCACAATTTTCTAGCCATCTCTCTTCATCTCCAATATCTTTTCTGCAAGCTTCATTTGATCGCTTCCTTATCTCCCACATCAGTTTCCTAGCCTTCAACTTCTTTATCCGGGCCATATATTTATTACCACGAGGTTGGAAGAGATGCCTATGATCTGTGCAGGCTATAAGAAATTTACGATGATCAAAGATGCAACCACTTGCTCTCGCACAAGGCTGCAAAACACAGATAGTGTTAGCTCTTATCATGGTTGGTATAAAAGAATGCTTTTCTCGCTTGTAGTTAGCAAAATAAAGGGAGTTCTAAATATTTGTGAATCTTATTCTTAACGAGAGAACACAAAACCAACCAAGTGATAAGTTTTTGGACAACGATCAACACGACAGCCAGTGGTTGCCCCTCGCCTCCCACAGCGTGTGCACTTCAATGCTCTTCCTCGGAATAGTGCAGCCCTCACATTTTTTAAGCATCCAAAGTTAGCAAAATAAACCTGCAAAAGTTTGTCAATACAAAATTTAATTTAACATAAAAGTTGACTAAGCAACAAATAGAAAGGCAATTTGAATGTGTCTAACTCTGAGCAACAAAACTATTAAGTTGATAAAATTTAACAAAACAAAAAGCATTTCGGTTCATGAGTTGGCAATGTCTGCTGATTATCATGGACAATATTAACTATGTAACACCCATATTTTACTAAAAAGGCTTAACATAACATTTATATTTTGAGGACAACTTCTAGGGTGGAGCAGTCTCATAGGTGGTTTACGGTGGTCAATTAATATGAACCGTCAAACTGTGTCATTCTGTCAGATATAATAGTACACTGTCACCAGCAAATTTTTTCTCTCTCTTTTTTTTTTTACTTCTTTCACCCTCTCCCACAGTCCCACATACTCTATCTTCATCCCACAATCAAAACATTGTCTTCCCGCACCATATCAAGATAATTGGGAATCTTTCAAATGGGTAACCTCTTGTTCCACAAATGACACGAAAAATAGTGAACCATGATTGTTCAACTTCAGTGGTCTAAACAGCTTTTACATGTAAGGTGACATTGCAGGTTGCATAACATGGTTCTTCATGTGGGTGTTGAGAGTGACACTTAAGGGGGAGGGAATATCGAGTGTGAATTTCACTATTCCGTTGTTTTGGGGTTCAAAATCAATTTAGGGGCATAAAGAGAGTTCCAAATTGGTAGAGGAGCAAGAAAAGAGGCTTCTTTTTTTTTT